TTTATTGCATGTTTTAAACATATTGTGCATTTTTAATTTTATAACCGCTTTTATTTATTTATGGAGTTTGTTTGAACAAGTCGCAATTCTCGCGCACTCGATTGTTTGTGTACACATTGCGAATCACGTCACGGGAACCGTACCCATGATCTACAACATGCTTATTTTATTATTGTTCGAAGTTGTGGTCGGGTCACATGAAATGTGCACCCGAATTGAGATTTACGTATCATGATCATGCCACGGGAACCGTACCCATGACCACGATGATTTATTTACGCGCCTAAAGTACACTACGATGTTCATAAGAATTATTTTTCTAAGGTTTGAGATTGTTTGTCAAACTCCAAAGTAATGGAATTTACTGTGAAAGGAACAAGGTGGATTAGTTATGGAAAGATGAACTAGTTTATAAATTTTATCATTATGGGCCTAGCAGAATTTCATTATTTATCCCAATAACTTCTTAAAACCCACACATCATATACAATAATGGCCAGAGAACAACTTGATTCTTTCTGTCACCAAATTACCAAGCAACATCGAATAGAACCCAACACTTAAATCCCAAAATTACTTTTAAAAGTTGCTACTAATACCATTCAATTAGTCAATCTTCCCTATCTGTTTTTCATTAAACCAAACTTAAATCTCATGGCCAACTCAAATACATTACTGCTTCAATTAAGCTTAAACTGTGGAAGTCATGTTTTCAATTTCAAAACTTGATGGCACTTGAAATCATATACACAATTAACAACATGTCTAAACACTAAAAAAGCAAATAACAGGGTAAATAAAACAAACAAAAGAGAGAAAAGAAATCTCACTTTGAGCGCCACTTTTTCCACTTTAAAATGTTCATTTCAGAATGTTATCTCACAAACTAAATAGAAAGAATGGAGAAAACTTTAAGTCCCAAAGCTTTACCAATTTGTTTTAAGGCCAACTATAGATATGTAGCTCCATAATCTTTTTATTCATAACACGCACCAGACATTCAGCAACAAGTTTGAAGCGATTCAACTTAAATCTTCAGATTTAAACATTTAACAAAGAAATTAAATGAAGAAGATCTAGTAGCCAATCACAATGAATACGCCAAAATTAGACATGGATTCAACAGACAATTCAGGCCTTCATTCATACAATTAATGGAAGATTACAAGTGAGCTTGGAACTGACCTACTTGAGCAGAGAAGACACTAAACAAAGCCAAATAGAAGCTGGAATCAAGCAAGGTCTCGGCAAAAGTAGGCTTAACGACAAAGCAATTTCAATCTCCAACTACATAAAAAACTCAAAAGAACCCCAGAAAACGTGAAGCAAGATCAGTTAGAAGAGAAGCCTTTTTTTGGATCTTTTTCTCTTCTGATTTTCGGAACTTCTGGTGCTCTAGAGCTGGAGCTTTAGGATTTTTGAATTTGAAAGCTCTTTCTATTGTTTTGAGTGTTCTCGTCGGTGAGTGAAAGATGGGTAGGAGCAGAGGGTGTGGCAAGGACGGATGAAGCGGTGTGAGTTTGAGAGATGAGGGAGTCACTAGTTGCTTGTGTCTCTTGCGCCGCTGCTCTGGTTTTTTTTTTTAGAGGAGAGGGGTCTTCTAATTGTTAGCTTGAGAATGAGAGAAGGGTTAGGTTTTTTATAATTAAAGGGGAGGGGGACCGATTGGGCCTGGCAGGCGTGGGCTTGGACGGGTTTTGAGGGAATTGGGCCATGGAAATTGGCCCATGTCCGAATTTAGACCCAAAAATAGTCTTTCTCCCTTTTTCTTTCAATGTTTCTTTTCCCTTTGATTTCGCTTGAACAAATTAATAAAAATCTTAAATTAAAATCTAACTTAAATCTCGTTAGCAAACTAATTCTATTTATCTATTAACAAATACATGGAATAATTTGTTTGAAATTTTTTATGCATTAATGCTAACAATTAAAGAGTAGCTAATTCCTAAAAATAAAAATTAAACATAAGATGGCATGAAATTAAAATGTGACATTTTTTAAGGTTTTTTCTATGATTTTAAGATATTGAAAATGCATAAAATGCAACTAAATAAAGAAAGACTCCCAAAATCCGTTAATATTATTGTTGGTCTATTTTTAGGAGTTATTTTCATGTGGGGCAAAAATTAGGTGCTCACAGCTGCCCCTCTTTGCTCGAAAACATGATGAGTTTTCGGGCAAAGATAAAGTGAGCAAATATGAGCAATTTTTGCCCGTCTGGAACCCCATCGGAAGCATTTTTTGAAAAAGTCTGACTGAACCTTGCTTCAGAGGTTGCCTACATATCCTTGGCAATAAAGGCATCAGGTCAGTGTAGTTCTGGAAGTTTTGGTAGCTGCGACTATCGGAAAACTGTGATTTCACTGCTGTTGCTGCTGTTTACTGCTTGCTGAGCTCCATATTACACCAAAATCAAAATGAAAAGACTAACTAAACCTATCAGCTAGGCGTTACAAGATTCCTATCTATGAGTCTTTTGGAGCTTGATCTTTTTTTTTCCCGATAAACTAACATTTTCATTTATCAAAAATTGTTCTGTACATAGTAGGACCTGCTGACCAGTTCCTTATCTCTTCTTAGACTATACTTGACTCCAACATTTTATAGATGTCTCCCTATATAACTATACTAGTTAAATATATGTATCACATCCTATACATGTGCTCTCTATCCTGAAGCTGAAAGACATGAGTACAAGATTACAATAGTAGCGTAACTATGGATATCTGTTCAAAGCTTCCATGTGTTCCTACCAATTGATGTGTATATGGCTTTTGATATGAACATATGAAGTGATCTCTAGGCATATCTGCTCTGCTGAAGTACTTCCATTTTGAAATCTGATCAGATTTCTATCCCTCCATAAACTGTATATCAGTATGCCAAATACTGTTACAATAATGTTGCCAATCCCTTTCTTCTTCCTAGCATGATAAGCCACCCAATGTAGCTCCTCCTCCCAAGCTTGAATCTATCTTTGAATTCCCATCCAGTTTAGTAATCTCTTCCAAATAGTACTTGTGTATGAACACTCAAAAAATAAATGTTCAAATAGTTCATCTTCCTGACCACAGAATACACACACTTGAACTACTTGAATACCAATTTTCTGCAATCGATCAACTGTTGGTAATCTCCTTTGAATGGCCAGCCACAGATTGAATTTGTGTCTAGGATGTATATGATGATTTAAGATCAGGCTTTTCCAGTATACCTTCTAACCTTAAGGGGTTTGCAAGTTATATAGCTTCTTGATACTGAACTTACTATTTGTGCTCTGTAAGGACTCCAATCTTTCTTGCACATTCCCTTGTAGACTTGGTAGATTCAATATGAACTTCCTTTGCTCAATAATCTTCCTTACTACCCAAGCTGCACTCTTAGGTATAGGCATGGTGTCAATGCTCCTGTTCTCTATGTAATAAGAATGGATCCATCGAATCCATAAACAATCTTTCTTCTTTGTGATCGCCCACAGATGCTTCACTATTGTAGCTTTGTTCCAGTTACAAAGGTTTATCACATTCAAACCTCCCATTGTTTGTGGTAAAAAAACTCTGTCCCATGCTACCAATGCTCTTCTAGATATATCAGCCTGCCCTGTCCATAGGAAAGTTCTACATATTGCCTCTATCATCTTGCTAATCTTCTTTAGTAGTAAAAATACATGAGCCCAATAAGACTGCATCCCAAAAATCACTGCCAATGAGCTGCAATCTTCCAGAATATGACAATAATTTTGAGGTCCAACAACTGATGCTTGTAGTGATCTTTTCAACCAATGGCCAGCACTGTTGATTAGATAGCTTTTTAGGAGCTAATGGAACCCCTAAGTATTCAAATGGTAAGCTTCCTTCATTATATCCCAACTCCTGCAAGATAAGTTCTTTCATCCTCTCATTTATACTTGCAATGTAAACTGAGCTTTTATCAGGATTTGCCTGAAGTCCTAAAGCTCTTGAAAATTTCAGAAATCCATCCTGCTGTAACTTAATTGACTTCAAATCAGCTCTGAAGAACATCAATAGATCATCAGCAAAGCACACATGCATCACTCCTAGTCTTTTACACCTTGGATGAAAATGGAAATCCTTATTTAAAGCCAGTTGACTAAATTCCCTTTGCAAGTACTCCATAACTATTACAAATAAGTAGGATGACATTGGATCTCACTGCCTTATCCCCATTTTACCTTCAAATGGTTTTGTGAGTCCTCCATTTAAGGTCAGAGAGTAGGATACAGTTGTTAGGCACTCCATTATCTAGCAAACAAATCAGTGTGGAAACCCCAATCCTATCAGTATCCTCTTCAAGTAGAACCAATCCAATGTATCATAGGCTTTCCTAAGATCAATCTTGAGAATGCATCTTGCAGATATTCCTTTCCTAGTATAGCCTTTGAACAGTTCATGGGTGAATATGATGTTATCGGTTATATTCCCGCCTTCAGTGAAAGCTGATTGAGAGTCCCCCACCAGATAGTTCATTACTGCTTTTAATCTCCCAGTGATAATCTTTGTGATAATCTTGTCAATAGTTGTGCAACACGCTATTCGCCTAAAGTCCTTAACCTGTGTAGGATTAGGAACTTTAGGAATAAGAGTAATAACAGTGCTATTGATGGCCTTTGGTAGCTTCCCTGTATTAAAAAAATCCAAGACATCAGCAATCACATCTGGTTTGATCACCTCCCATTGCTTTGCGTAGAATTCTACTGGAAAACCATCTACCCCAAGAGCCTTGTCAGTTGACATGCTTTTAATAGCTCCTATTATCTCCTCCTCTGTGACTGCCTTGATCAGCTCCAGTTGTTGTTGCCTTGTTAGACAAGGTCCCTTTTTAATCACCTCAGCATCTGGACAAGGGTGCACTGGTGATGACTCACCCATCAGTTTCTTAAAGAAGTCCAGAAATTGCTCCTCCACCTGTTTAGGATCTTTTAATTTGATACCTGCATAATTTTGAATAGAGAAAATAGCATTAATATTAGTACGCATCTTCTACTGAGCATGGAAGTACTTGGTATTTGCATCTCCATGTTGTATCCAAGTAGCTCTAGACTTCTGCCTCAACACCTGCTCCTCAATGTCACTCCATTTCTCCACTTCTAGCAGAGCTTCCTTTTCTTGTTCTATGCATTCTTTCCTTAAAGGCTGCAAAGACAGTTGATGCTGAACTAATTTGAACTTCTGCTTTGCTTGATTCAGTTTCTGCTGATAAGATGCCATATAGTTGTTCAAGCCTCTCAATGCCTCCTTCAGTCTTCTGAGCTTATTCCATGTGCTTGCCTTCCCAATATCTCTATCATTCTGCACCCATACTTCTTTCACTATCCTTGTAAATTCAGGATGGTGAAGGACATTACGGTACAATCTAAATTGTCTAGGATGCAAGTGTTGTTGAATACCATTCTGGCAGTTCATCAGTATAGGAGAATGATCAGATACACCAGGGTTCAAATATTCTGCCTCAATATGCCCATTTTTCATCATCCAACTGAAATTTCCAAAACCCCAATTTATCTTGATATATACCCTTACATTTTCATCCCTTTTATTGCACCACGTATAATACCATCCTGTGCTTTTCAAGGGAGTGAGCTGCATTTTATCTAAGAACTCCTTAAATCCTTGTACCGCTGCCAGTGTAATAGGAGCTCCAATTCTATCATATGTTTGTAAGACATTATTAAAATCACCACTAATTAGCCAGTCAGTTGTGATATTAGAACCTATACCAATAAGGTTCTTCCGTAGCTGCTGCCTTGAGTTCAATTCATTATAAGCATATACAACAGTGAAGAGCCATTTCTTCTGACTAATATGTTCTTCCTTTTACTTCTTCAGAAAGAGCACCAACTCTTTCTGTTTATAGGGCTTGTTCAGCCCTCTAATATTCCAAGTACTGACTATCATGGAGGTGTAGGGTGGCTCTGTCCACCCTGCCCAGTATCAGTAGAAATACCACCCTGATTCAGAATCTCAAATCTGTTTGTGGTATTAACATGACTAGTAGAACAACTTGGTTCTCCCACAGTAGACACATCCACTCTCTTCTCATATCTTCTCTCATTCCTTATTACTTCTGAGAGTGCTGGGAATACATTCCTGTCCAGCTGCCTACCTTCCATTTGTGAGCCTACTGCATTTTCCTTAGTTACATCCTCCTTTGTAGCATCAAATATTTGTTTTTCAACTGTTGGAGCAGTCACCTCTTTTGTTTCCATTTTTCTTCTTCTTTTGCCCCTTCTCTTCCTTCTGTTTTGTTCTACAAATGCTCCATTCGTTTTTTTTTCCTTGCTCTTTCTGCATTCCCCAGTGGTATGCCCAGCTTTTGCACATTCCATTCAAAATTTAGGCTTCCAGTCATACTCTATGTTTTGATGAATAACCCTACTGGAGTACGAATTAAAATATCATTTGGCAGAGGATGAGAAATGAGTGCTTCTACAAGGACTCTAGCAAATGAAATTCTATCCATCTCAGCAATGTATAAGTCTGTATACATTGGCCTTCCTATTCCACTTGTCAATTCGCTTAGAGCCTCAGCTAGACCAAAATCCCACTGGCAAATTTGGGAATCTTACCCACAATGGAATTACATTCAAACATTCCGGATCAAAGACAAAATCAAGAGACCAATTCTTCAAAATAAATGGCTTATTATGAAAAGTGTAAGGCCCTAATTGCATGACTTTGTCTCTATCTTCAAGTGAATCAAATCTAAATATGTAATAGCCACCGTCATGGTATAAGATCTTTGGAGTATTAACAAAATCCCACACATTTACAACATAGTTCTCCATAGATTTGAAATATGGATTTTCACCCAATACGTACCCAATGAGTGAGTTATTCCAATAATTTTGATGTTCCTTTATGTCTTCCTCTACAATTGTTACTACAATTGTATCTCCCTGCAGATCTGGTGGAATATATGTGAGCGCTTTCCCCATTTGAGAGCTACGATTCCTCCTATAAGGCTTCTCCTTACCTATTCTATTTTTCCTGTTCCATTGGTTCCTGTTCTATTGGTACAGGTTCCTGAGTCATAGATGAAGAATGTAGCGTAGATTTAGCTAGGTCAGAAAATTGGAGCCCGGGTGGAATCTCTTCTCCTGTTCTTCGCGCATCTCGTTTCATAGCTAGGTTCTGTTGGACATTAGCTATATCATCATTTGGGTCTTCTCTTATCGTTTGAAACTGAATTGGAAGAAAGCTTCCAAACGTTAGTGGCTTTGCATGCATTGGTACAGTTGTGACTGGTGTGACAGAGCTCGCCGATGGCGTTATAGCGGTGGTGGTCGGAGTTGTCATGCTGCCCGTGCACGTTAGCAAACTCTGCTTAACATGCGCCGAGAGAGAACATTCCCTTATATATACTTGTTCTTATTATACCAAGCCTACCTCGAGGTCCATGTGCCCGAGGTCACTGCTGTTGAGTAACTGCAGCTTGATCTTGAGTCTTGGCTTGTTCTTCATGCGGACTCTGATCTGAATCTTGATGCTTGTTAGCTGCAAATGTTGGTTCATTCTTTTTCAGCTTTTCGAATCAAGGCAGGACATGCAAAGCTTGTGACTTCAATCATGTCTTGAGCACTCCACATCTTTTCTCCGCTTCTGCACTTTGAGCTCACTTCTTTTTCTTTTTCTTTTTTTTTGTTCTGGATTGAGACTTCTTCTTTTGGTCGTCTCGAACCCTCTATCGCGAGGTATAACCTGCTCAGACACCAAAACAAACAAACGAACGGAATTTTTCTTCTCCAGTTTTCAATAGGAAAATTTTGTGAGTTATTTGTAACCAAAACTATATACTACTTCATTATTGAAGCAATAAAAATTAGGATTTTTTATCCTCGGGAAAAAGAGATTAGGGAGTGGAGACCCTATATCTAAAATGAAATCAACTAGGGATTGTAGACCCTATTGTTGGAAAATCATCAACTAGGGAGTGGTGACCCTATGTTGGCATCACGTTATGCTGGCATCAACTAGAGAGTGGAGACCCTATGTTTGCATCAACTAGGGAATGGTGACCCTATGTTGGCATCAGGTTATGCTGGCATCAACTAGGGAGTGGAGACCCTATGTTGGCATCAACTAGGGAGTGGTGACCCTATGCAGACATCAGGTTATGCTGGCATCAACTAGGGAGTAGTGACCTTACGTTGGCACCAACTAGGGAGTGGTGACCCTATGTTGGCATCAGGTTACGCTGACATCAACTAGGGAGTGGAGACCCTATGTTGGCATCAACTAGGGAGTGGTGACCCTATGTTGGCATCAGGTTATGCTGGCAACAGGTTATGCTGGCATCAACTAGGGAGTGGTGACCCTACGTTGGCATCAACTAGGGAGTGGTGACCCTATGTTGGCATCAAGTTATACTGGCATCAACTAGGGAGTGAGACCCTATGTTGGAAAATCATCAGGTTATGCTGGCATCAACTAGGGAGTGGAGACCCTATATTGTAAAGTCTTCAGTTTATGCTGGTGTGCACGGTCAAATCGGAGGACCGACTTCTCATTAGCAAAATGCTTCGACAAATCGCTCCAGAGGTCCGGGATCTCGAGCCGGCCATTTTTCTCGAGATATGTCGACTCCAACCGAAGGTAACATCGACCGAAACCCCGACAAACGCAAAAAGTTCCCAAAGAACGTATCCGGGGTCGACTGAGTCTGTTCGAGCAACTCAACGTCGGCCCGCGCACACGTCATAAAGCTAGTTGGTTGTCCCATCTCCTTTTCTCTATCACACAACGTCTCTTGTACTAAGTTTGGGCTCCCCCCTTCTTATAAAAGGAGAGTCATTAATACCCTGTAAGGCAGAGCACCAACGATTCTACAAAAGTGCAATAATACTTCTCTCTCCTTTCTCTCTAAAAACTTATTAGCTCCCACTGATCCGAGGATACCTCGAAATCCTTTTCCTTTATATGTGTTCTTCATTTTTATATGTGTCCTTCATCATATAATTTAGTCTCGGCTATAAAGAGCTTTATTTGATCGTATCTCTAACTGTTATACTACCCTCGATTGTCCCCGATATCCCGAATTCGATCTCGAGGTCGACCCCGAAGCCCCCATCGACCAGACCTACATCCGGGTAGCAGGCCCTTCGGTTTGATCATTATCCTGTTTTGACTCACGCTCCATCGTTAAATTTCATATTATTAGCATCATCTGCTCTAACAACTAGCTCGGGAATAGATCACGTATTTTTAGAGTCCCATTTTAAAAATTTAATTGTCGTTACCATTTTCATGGTAAACAGTTTGGCGCCCACCGTGGGGCTAAAAATAATAATGATTATTTTCTTTCTAGTTTCATTGTACAAACGCATATCATCTTTCACACTTTTTCTTGTCCAAGATCCTTTGATTCAGGTAAAAATATCTGGCTCAGTAAACAGAGTTGAGAATGACCGCCTCGAAGATCACAGGGAAAATGGTGTAGCTATCCCGGCAGCCGGAGCACCGCTACAAGATCCCGATAACACACCCGGACCAGTACTAGCGGACGCGGACTCGCAGGACGCACAACAAGTCAACGAAACTTCTCACACCGACAGAAGCGTGCGACACAGCGACCGACAGGAAGTTCAAAAAACCCCGGCTCGGGAAGAATAGGAAGTTAGTCTTCACGATATTTTTGAAATGTTGCAGGCACACAACTGGCCGTTGCTCAGTTGCAAAGCCATCCGTGAACTCCCAGCACACCAGCAGCGAAGATAGCTCCCCTTGCTGAGCAAATACCCAAGAGATCAAATGATATCGGATCAACGGCCGACCCCACCATAGTGAAGATTCTGGAGGATCTTACCAAAAGGATCGAATCGGGTGAAAAAATGATCGCAACCAACGATAAAGAAGTCGAGACCTACAACTCTCGGGTGGATCATATCCCGGGAGCACCCCCGGTCCTAACAGGTCTGGATTCGAAGAAATTTGTACAGAGGCCATTCCCCGAGGAAGCGGCCCCGAAGCCCATTCCAAAAAAATTCAGGATGCCGGAACTCCCCAAATACAACGGTACCATCGATCCCAACGAGCACGTCACCGCCTATACCTGCGATGTAAAAGGCAACGATATATAAAATGACGAAATCGAGTTCGTGTTGCTGAAAAAATTTGGAGAAACACTTTCGAAGGGCGCCATGATGTGGTATCACAACTTGGCTCCCGACTCCATAGATTCATTCGCCATGCTAGCAGACTCCTTCGTAAAAGCACACGCAGGAGCCATCAAGGTAGCAACGAGGAAGTCCGACGTTTTCAAAATTAAGCAAAGAGAGAATGAGATGTTGCGGGAATTCGTGTCCCGCTTCCAAATGGAACGAATGGAGCTGCCACCCGTCTCCGACAACTGGACGGTACAGGCCTTCACCCATGTCCTGAACGAACGAAGCTCGGTGGCCTCGAAACAACTGAAGCAGAACCTGATCGAATATGCGGCCGTGACTTGGTCGGACGTCCACAACCGGTACCAGTCAAAGATCCGGGCCGAGGACGACCAGTTGGGAGCCCCTTCGGGCTTGGTATACCCAAGCAGACTCCTGGTAAGAGAAGCGATACCAAACAAAGAATGGTACCAGCCGCACCTCGAA